GTTGATATAGATGGTCCAAATCAATCCAAGAGAGTGCGCGACAAGCCAGCCGGGCAGCCGAGAACAACCGGCAATGCTGATGGAACAAAGCCAAGCTTTGAATAGCTCAGTTGGTAAACCCACGAACTGATGCGATACAGACCTGAGCTCAAATTCTGATGGAATCAGACGAATGAGAATAACTCAGAATTTAACTGGGGCCGGGCAGTTCCAAGATAATATCCGAAGACTGCCGCCCTTCTGAAAAAAAAAAAAAAAAAAAAAAAAAAAAAAAAAAAAAAAAAAAAAAAAAAAAAAAAAAAAAAAAAAAAAAAAAAAAAAAAAAGAAGAAAGAAAGAAAGAAAGAAATAACATGAGGCATTCAGGAGGTCTTGGGTTCAATCCCCATTGGCCTCATGCACCTTCCTGGGCAAGCTTGGCGCCTGCCACCTCGAGATATGCTGTTGGTCCCCCCGAGTGGCATTGAGCAGAGACTACTGATGTTCATAGGGGGAGGGGATCGGAGGGGAGGCACAGTGACTGGCCCATCGAACAAGCTCGGTCCTGATGCTACCGGCTGACCCCTGGCCGGTATCGCCCACCTGCTGTAGCAGGTATCACACCTGCTGGTGGGTGCAGCTCCTTCATGTTCCCTCGTTGGAGGCTTGAGCACTGATGTGCCTGCTACGGGGTTCCCCGTAATACTATAATGACAAACAAAAAAAAAAGGCCTGAAAGGCCGTCCTGTCCAGATTTGACAGGTAATTGAATTGGTTGGGCTTAAAGAATTAGCCTTTAAAAAAAAAGAAAAGAAAAAGGAAGAGAAAAAAATAAAATAAAATAAAAATAACATGAGGCATCCAGCGGCCTAGCTCAGTTGTTAAGGCACGCAAGTGGCATTCAGGAGATCTTGGGTTCAATCCCCATTGGCCTCATGTACCTTCCTGGGCAAGCTTGGAGCCCGCCACCTAGAGATATGCCGTTGGTCCCCCCGAGTGGCATTGAGCAGAGACTGCTGATGTTCATAAGGGGAGGGGACCGGAGGGGAGGCACAGTGACTGGCCCATCGAAGAAGCTCGGTCCTGATGCTACTGGCTGACCCGTGGCCGGTATCGCCCACCTGCTGTAGCAGGTATCGCACCTGCTGGTGGGTGCAGCTCCCGCATGTTCCCTCATTGGAGGCTTGAGCACGGATGTGGCTGCTACAGGGTTCCCCGTAATACTATAATGACAATAAAAAAAAGGCCTGAAAGGCCGTCCTGTCCAGATTTGACAGGTAATTGAATTGGTTGGGCTTAAAGAATTAGCTTTTATAAATTTAAAAAAAAAAAAAAAAAAAAACATGAGGCCGGGAATTCCTCACAAACAGCCCGGGGCAAGGTCCCCCTTGCGCAAATTAGGAGTTTTCAGTCGTTGATCTTCGCTATCTACGGTCAGTATCTCTCAATTCGTGCAAGTGGGACCTAGCCCCCGGAAAGAAAACTCGTCACCACTGGGACCTTTACCCAGGATAGGTTGTGGGTTGAACCCCAATGACACTTGGCCAAGCCAACTCAAATCAAGAAACAGGCCCTCGTTGCACTACTCGCCATCCGCCAACATCTTGATTGCATGTGGACATCATCTTTGTCCAGATGCATTCGAATTCTTGGCGGATGGCGAGTAGTGCAACTAGGGCCACAAACCGATAGACTTGCTACCGGGCAACCGTAATAAAACAGACGCAAAATCAACAGTCAATTCCAGCTCTGGCATGCCTACACTGCCAGGCACCAAATCCTAAGAACAACTAAACCCTAAACCAAAACTTCAAGCAAACAATTCTAACCCTGGCGTACCTACCCGGCCAGGAAGAACAGACCAAAATTAAACAGGTCAAAAATTCCAAGCCATCAGGCACACATCATCCTAACCTAGCCTAACTACCCAATCGGGGTAGGACCCCTCCCATACCCCTGCCTATTTCGGCAGAGTGGACCCAAAGGTCCTCCTACTTTTGGACACTCTCTAAGCCCCCAAAACCCACCTGCCTCCTACTGCGGATACTAAGCCGAGTGTCCTGGTTATTGGAGCCAGATTGCATGAACGCGCTCTGATTGCCGGCTACAGTGGATAAGAGATATATTTCTTTTTTTCTTTTTTTCTTTTTTTTAACGAAAATTTTATTTCAAAACAATCCAGTGAATGAGGTCGGGCATCCTCACAATTCAACCCGGTGTTATCCCGGCAGCCTCAGCCGGTTTAGCTTACTCCACGTACTATCAATTATCCAACAGAATTTCCAAGTATACTTCCAGAACTTCCACAATACGGTAGCACTCACTACCAAATTTTGTGATCTAACTACTACCCATATCTACCCATCTTACCTTCCCTCTTCAGCTAAACCTATGCCTAATGCACAGACCTACCCTCCCGTCGTCCCAAACTCGCCCGAGAGGAACATTCGTTTCAGTAGTAATAGACTGGGCACCCCGGCCCAAACGCGCCCGAGAGGAACATTCGTTTCATTAGTAATAGACTGGGCACTCCCCGACCCTCCCTAACCCATTGCAGGCTATTGTACCTGTCGACTGGAACCGAGCAACCCTGGTTCATCAACAAATTACCACAAGGCAAAAAACCTCATAAACCAAAATTCCAAGTAGCCTAACGTCCCTCTCGACATCCTAACCTACTTAACCCAGACTATCTATCTAACCGTACTGCGACTTCCAGTCTGCCCGTCCGAGAAATGGATGCCAGCCCTCCATTTTGTGCCCATGTTTCTCTGAACCACTGGATTTCGTAGTCAATCCACCTTGATCTGAGTTTTCAGGAGGTGGCGGAAGACTCTCTTGTCCTGAACTTCCTGCAGGGGTTCACCTTGGAATCTTCTACTGTTTCTGTCCAGCCAAATCGTCCAAAACATAGCTAGGCGGGCCACTTGTGCAACATATTCCCAGCCCTTGGCTCCTGAGACATCCGGTGGTAAAGCACCTTGTAGAACCCATCTTTTACCCGTTAGATTTCTTCTCCCCGAGAAAGTCACCCAGTGACGTTCCCACCACTTCCACCATTTGTTAGAGAGTGGGCAGTCCGTCGCTGCCAATGATGAATGGATTGGTGTTGCCTTTTAACTTCCTCCTTGGTAGCTGGCGGTTTCACTAGAGGGGGTTTGACCTTTTTCCACGCAAAAATTAAATTTTTCCAAAATATTGATTAGATACGTTTATTGAGGAAGGAGTCGTGGAAGAGAGCAACTCATACATCTGAGGGTTTGCTCAACTCCCATTCTTCAGCCAGAAGAATTTCCGCCATCATAATCCAGTCCACCTCAAATCCTTTTTCCGCCACCCTTGCCACCCATTTGCTCAGTAGAGCAAGGTTTTTGGTCTCCGGATCACACAATCCCAGACCCCCTTCCTCTCGTGGTCTGCAAACCACCTCCCACACCACTTTAGAGATAAAACCTTGTTCCTTCCGTGCTTCTGGTTTCCATAAAAAGCGTCGTGCAACATCCTTGACTGAATTGAGCATACCCTTTGAGAATTTTTGAACTGTACCCACATAGCTCAACAGGGAAAAGGTCGAAGTTCTGAGCACTACCGCCCGGCCTATCAGAGAGAGGTGACGAGCCTTCCACCAACTACGGATTCTGTTAAATACCTTTTGAAAGGTGATTTCATTCTGGTTTTTCGAACAGTTGCCAAGAGCCACCTGAATCCCCCTAAAACGTTTAGCTTTCCCTACCGAGATCTTCTCCATTCCCCATTCTACAGGGCTCCCAAACTATGAGGGTAGGAAGAATATGGACTTTGACCAATTAGTTGCCGCCTCCGAGAGCTCGACATAGAGAAGGAGAACATATTTCAGAGCTTCCAACGAGCTTCTTGCGTTCGTAGAGATAGCAAAGAGATCGTCTACAAGAGCTCTAATTTTGCATTCCTTGCCATTAGGGAGTGATAAACCTTGCAAGTCAGGATGAGCTCTCAGATTGCAGAGGAGGGTCTCCAGTTGCACTACGAAGATGAGGCGGGGCTAGGG